GATTGTTGGCTTCATTTTATGTTGTATCTTTTTACGTTATGTTGCTCAGTGTGGGAAGGATGACCCATATTTCATTAAGCTGCTGTGCTCTTGTTTCCGGCAGCTTTCACAACGAATTTATCTCTGACCAAGATATACACACTCAGCATTTGAGATATCTATATCAACACTGGCTGTGCGCGAGATAATAATGCAGCTTTAAACTATAGTTTTTATATTCCAGATGTAAAGTTTTATTTTACAGAAACAATTAAGCTTCATATCCTTACGAAATCATTTATATAAGCAGCTAAATACTCGCTATTTATGATTTAAAACAGCAAGAACAATTCAGTGTTTGGTTTAATAGAAATTTAAGAAGGTTTATGAGGTGAAACTCATTTTATAATACCCAGTCGCCACATGTTTCGTCCTTGTTTCCCAAACAGAATATAGCCTTCCTGTACATATAGGCTATTTTATGCCGTCCTAAACGAATTGTGCTCTAAAACTAGCCTTTTGTTTTCAAACATAACTAGCTTAGGCTATATCTGGATACGTTCAGCAGTCGACATAAAATAAAAAAGAAAAGAAAAGAAAGAGAAACCAAACGAATTGGAAGGTCTTATTAAAATAATTCCATTATCGAAAGGAATGAGATGAAAACGCAAGGGCATTATTGCAGGTATTGTTGTGCCTGTGGCTTCTCCTCCAGCAGCGTAATTCTCCTCATCAATACTGCAGTGAGATCGTTACGCCGCTGACATTGATAAATGACCACCAAACTACAGCATTTTCTCACCAGTATACTGCAGGCTAGAGAAACACAAACTGGAGGTCGAAATAAGCAGGGAAACGTCTGCAGGAGCAGTCTTAGCTAAGATATCAAACAGCATGAGAAAAACCATTTGAAAATGTCACCGCGAAATTGCGTTTAAAAGATGCTGGAGATTAAGAAGTTCGCGGGGTTTGTGTTTCTGAAAAATTACACGCGGTACAGTCGCCTGATTTGGAAATATTGAATTAATGTGATTTATTTCTGCACATATTGCCTCAAACATTTTACAATAGAGCTCTACACAAATTTTAATACCTTCTTAGATGGTTTTAGGGAGTACGGTTATGAAATTGTTATTTTACTCTTTCTTATGCCCCTTTCAGTAGACGGTATTTATGCAGTATTAAAATTCTCTGTTTTTTTTAGCCTATAGTGATTTATTTCATAATTGTTTGATGCACACGTCTGATATTTACACATCTAAAGTCATTTTTGAGATAGGTTCGCGTTTCATCTTTCTTTAATTTTTTTTAAGGACAAATTATGTAATGGTTATATAAATACGTTGTAGCACAGTTGCATTTTATCCGCAAAATAAAAATGGTTATCTATAGCCAAAATAAAATTTAACTGCATATCGCGTCAGTATCGATTCAATGCACGAAATAACATTCAACGCAAGAGATATAACATTTTGAAAATGAAGCATTTATTACAAGAAGTCGACTTTTGACTGTGTAGAAATACTGTACTGCTTTAAAAGACTCCTAAAAGGAAAATGGACAGAGCGGGAGGATCGATCAAACTTATCAGTACATCAACAGACATATAATCGACTTTTTCCATAGAGAAAAGCAAGAGTGAGAACGGACCAAAACGTACAACAATATCCCATCTCCATTTTTAAAGGATCTCGACTGAATGCCTATTTGACATTGATGTGTTTTACAAATAACATTTACATAATTATGTACAATGGAACATCTCTAGTGGTTTAAAAACTCCTCCAGGCATATTTAGCCTTACAAGAGCACCGTTGCTCTCCAAATCGACAAATAAACGCACAACTCATTTCCTAAGCTATGCTTTTCAAAACATCTCATGTGGGGAAGACTTTGTGGTTTCACATACTGGAATTTGTGTCAGATGTGTGCCATAATGATCCCATCAAGTGGTTTCCTTTCCTTCAATCTTTGTAGAATCATAAATGCAAAGGTCTAAATACTAGTCAATGACACAAACCCAAACATAGAATATTTCCCAAAAGAGAGAAAAAAAAAAGAAAAAACTCATCATACACTCACATTTCAGTTCTTGAGGGCTTTTAGCATCTTTTACTATATTCCACCGTTAAATGTGTTTAATATGAGCATGTGCACTTGTGCGTGAGGAGGTATGGAATATTTGCGTCTGGGGCAGCCACTCTATGGTTGAGCAAAAGTGCACAAATGGTGTGGTCCCCGTGCTTCTTGATGGTATAACAAGAATAAATAAATAATTTAAAAAGAAAAGATCTCCAATTGTCTTTTCAGAAGTCTCTCTTTTGGCACAAATGCTTCAAGTCTGTTTTTGTAATGTTGGTGCTCCTGCAGACAGTCCTTTGGCTGGAGATATGATGGCCAGATGATGAGGGGTCCGTGAGAGATTTGGGAGGTCTCGTGAAGACAGGAGGTGATCGGACAGGGGCGTGATCAGGTGAAGATGAATGTGACGTGACTCCTCATGCCTCTGGCCAGCACTGGGACTATTCCTGAGGCCACCATCAAAACCTAAAACACAGAGTAAAAAATACAATATTAAGAGATTTATTCACTAACATCTACATTCTGAAAGCATAAAAAGGAATATTCTGGGTATGTGCTGATTATATATATATATATATATATATATATATATATATATATATATACAAAAAAAAAGAGA